CACCCTACACAAAGCAGACTGGTTCCCAAGCCTCTTCTTGCTCTCATTTTCCCCAGCAAGATAATCTAATGTTTAGGGACTTGGGCAGGAATATCAAGGGTAGAGATGAAATAAATCTCTGGTGCTGAAAGGGATTCTGATTTGAAAGACTGGCAACAAGTCCACATTGGCCCCTCTACCCAGCTATATAAAAAAAAAAATCCCTTTTTATAACACTGAGGACAGCAAGTTACCTTCTGAATCTCTTTGAGCAGCACACCATCCGTCATGAACTTGATCTGGGTTTCATCCGTAACGTTCCCTTCGTACCGGATTTGATAGGAAACCACTCTGTGGGAAACACCAGGGCAGCCCCAGGGAAAAGCACAAAGTCCATATCACCCACAGAGCACCTCAGTGCCACCTTCCAGCAAGGTCCCAAGCCTTTCTGAAGCTCACCTGTGTGACAGGTTCATCTCCTTGGCGACCCTCTGGGACATGGACACGGCGGCCACGCGCCGAGGCTCCGTGATCCCGATGGTGCCGCCAGAACTAACGGGGTGAGGGAAGGAAAAGGAGGAATTGTTTTCATTAAACAGAGCAGCAGCCCCAAAAATGACAACAGGATTTCTCACTGATGGCTCTAGATTAATGGCATCAGTCACACAGCCTCAGTCTTAGCTGTAGTTGGAATAAAAGACAGGAAGCTTTGGGATTCCCTTCTGTTACACCTGTACAGATCTGAAGATGCATGGATTACAGTCAAATTTTTCCCCAAATGCTGTCTCTGCAATTCCATTTGTTGCATATAAAATCCAAATCCTACCTGGCATATCCAGCTTCGTAGAGGAACTGAGGCACTTGGGTGGTTTTGCCACTTCCTGTCTCTCCACATATGATCACAATGGGATTGTCATTAATGGCTTCCATGACCACTTGCTCTTCAGCAAGGATGGGAAGCTTCAGTCTTGCCTCCTAAACAGTGTAAAACACGTATTTTAGTTGTGCTGTTTCTCCATCTTTTTTTGTTTTCCTCAGGATTGAAACCTGTTACCTTCCTCAGACCATAAAACCCACAAAAGGAATTCTGCAAGCCTGTGACTCAGAAATCTCTAAACCAGCTCATACCACACGAGCATGGCTGAGAACCAGAGTCATCAGAGCAGCTTCCCAGCAAGCAGAGGGCAAGCCCTGCACTTTAATTTGTGAAACTTCAGAGTCCCTTGAGTTTCTTAATACAGAATTTCAGAGTCCCTTGAGTTTCTTAATAATCCCTTTCTTTTCAAGGGAAAACTCATTTCACAACTGCCTCATCTGCTGAGGCTCGTGCAGAGCTTTTCCTGTTTCTGCACAATGCCCTGCCCACACCAAACGGGACAAAACCATCCAGAATAAGGTACAAAACAACAGAGAGCTGAAAGGGACTTCAGAAGACTTTCCAGCAAAGGACAATAAAGACTGTTAATAGATCCTGTATGTGGAACTAAAGACAAATGCTAATACCCTGAAACAAGGCGAGTTTTCCTGCTGCCAGAGCAGAGCTGAGTGCACCCAGCTGCTGGAACACACCCTCCTCCCCCAGCCCCTCTGACAAGCACTGTGCTGTTCAGAGCCTCACCTGAATCTCAGGACTCCTGTCCACGGGGATGAACACTGCAGGTTTGCAGGGAGCCTTGCTGGGGGCTGCCTGGGGAACCTGGGCTCTGGGAGCAGCTGGGGGCTGCTCAGCCCCTGCCTTCCCCACTCCTCCCTCTGCCTCTCCAGCAGCATTCACAGCACTGGCTGAGGGCTTCTCAGTGTCTTCTTTCTGCTCTTCCTCCTCCTCCTCAGAGCTGCTGGGCTCCTCCTCAGGCTCTGATTCTGAACCTGAGCTGTGCCTTCTCTTGTTGGCACCACTGATGCTCCTGATCCTTTCGGGGACATCAGTCCTCGGCTCCTGTGTCACCCTGGGAACAAAACATCCACCTGTGAACTGTGTTCTGGCACCTCAAAGCAGACATGACTTCCCCAAAAACCAGATTTCCACTTCTGGAGGTTTTCACAGCTCTGCCAGGCAAATCCTTGGCTTTGATGGATGGATTTGTATCTAAGCATTTCCTGTCCTGGGGTTTATCCATTTCTTCTGAAGGCATCTTTGTAGTTTAATCTACAAATGCAGCTCTTGATAAATCCATCTCTTGGTAAATCTAGCAGTTATGGTCAACATCAGTAGATGTCTTCCAGCACAAGAAATTAAGTAAAATGTTTATCCACCAATTTTGTCATTTAGCACAATTGCTAAAAGCCTGCAGATTGTGTCACCCTCCTCATCCTCATCCATAGGAAAGACCAAGAAAATAACTATCCCATCATCAGACAAAAATAACAAATTATTTAACTCCATCCATTCCGAAGAACCTGTTTGCACCAAGAAGAAGAAAAAAAAAAATCAAGGGAAAGCTCAGGATGTTGCTGTTCAAACACAGTGATCAGTTGCAAGGGCTCCACCCAAAAACCCCTTCACCTTTTAGCCTGATACATGCGCTCCCCAGTGCCCAGCTTGGAAGTAGTGTACAGGAGTTTCATTTCTGCCTCAGAAGCCTGGACCTCGTTCAGCTTGCTCAGCAGCTCAGCTCTCTGTTTGGGGAAAACAGCCAAAATCAGTGCTTGCTTTGACCAGGGAAGAACTTTATTTAAAGATCTGCACTTGAGCATTCCAAGGTGTGCTCTGGGAAATCCTGCTGTGCAGCTGTAAAACCTTCCTGCTGCTCCAGGGTCACTCCTCCCTGGTGAAGATCTCAGCTCTGTACCACAGCAAAAACAGAAATGAGGACTTGCCACCACAGCAGTGAGCAGCTCAGCTGCACCCTAGAAACAGCAGCAAAGAAAACAGATTGGAACTGAACCACTGGAATGAGGCCTGGAGCAACGGGAGCCTCCTGTGGGACATGGCATGGCAGGAGGCCAGGCAGCCACAGCTTGAAACTGCCTCCAAAACCAGAGCTCCTCCGTCAAAGCCATTGTTCAGACACTAACAGGACCAGGATTTTTGCCTGGAAAGCTTTTACAAAGACAGCAAAGCTCTCATTTCCACCCTGAAAGTACACAACAAGCATTTCAGAAGCACTGACAGGCCAGCTTTGGGGTGCAGGGAGGTTTGCTCACAGCACCTGCTCCACAGGGAGCTTTTAAAATGCAAAACCATCATTGCCCAGCTCTCCTAAAATCCTCTAATCCCATGGATTCCCACAGCCTGCCAGTGATGGAGCCACAACACCTGCACACCTGGGCAGAGCAGGACCTGGGCCCACAAACCATGTGTTCCTGCAGTGCCTTCCCCCCCTGGAGCTGCCCTCAGCAGCCCGTGGGGGCATCTTTGGGAAATGCCCAGCAAAATTTTGGGCATCTTTGCCCAAATTCCCAGCAAACGGGGGGCTGGTGCTGTTGTAGCATCACCCTCAGCACCTGCACACCCCTGAGAGTTCACATCTCAGACACCCCCTGACAGCTCACACCTCTCACCATCCTCATCATCACCCCCCCTCCCCACACACCAACACCAAACCCTCATTTGAAGAGAATTTAAGATTTAAGAATTTAAGATTTAAGAAGCTGCTGTTGCCAGAAACAGCAACACACCTGTTTTTTCTTTTCCTTCTGCTCCAAAACCTTCTGCAGGTTTTTCTTCTGTTTCTTGCTCAGGGGTTTCTTCTGCTGTTGCACAACACTGGTCACTTTTTTCTTCTTGGCTTTTTTTGCTGGCAGGACCAGGGCATTACTTTCATCAATTCCCTTCAGCGTTGCTGCATCTGAAGGAAGGTTTGGATTATTCTCCCGTGCCAGGTGGATTATTTTCAGCACACTGCCCAGCAGGCTTATCAAGCACCAGGCCACATTTAGCTGCTTCAAACAAACACAACCCTCGTGCCCAGCCAAAAAAAAATCCTGCAACATCAGCAAGGGCAAAAGACCTCGAAACTGGGCTTTCAACAACCCTGAGCTTTCTATAGCCCTGAGGGCGATTCTCCAAGATTTATTTAACAATATTATGCAATTTTTGCCTTTTTACTCAATCCCCCAGGGTCAGGACACAGCGTGCCCTGGGGTGACTCCCCAGCGTCCTATTTCACCCAGACACCAGTGGATTTTAGTAATATATTTAAAATATATAAAAATATATAAATAAAAACAATAAAAAACCTGCATTACTAGATTCTGAATAATAAAAATATAATAACAAACGTCTTTTTTTTTAAAGCAATGCCATTTTTTTTAAAAAGTTTGAGAAAGCGAGTATTAAATATAAGAAGCACGTTTAATATGTTTAATAAAGCTGCTTTAATAAATAATGGAACCACTGAGTGTCGTGACTGGGACCCAGGGACAGCTCCTGAGCTCCCTGGAGGCTCTCGCTGCTGAAACAGAGCTGTTAATGCAAAGCCAGCGAGACACGGAACGAGGGGATGAGTTCGGCTGGAAAAGACCCCCGAGAACACCGAGCCCGGCCTGGGACCGAGCCCGGCCTGGGACCCAGCACCGCCAGGGCACCGAGAGCCGCACCCAGGGACGGAGAACCCAAAACGCCTCCCCGGGGGTTTAAAAATAACAATGCTTCCGATAAAAAACGCGATAAAAACCCGGCAGAGCAGGGCAGCAGCGCCGGTCTCAGCCGAGCCCTCACGAGGAGCTCCGCGCTCCGGCCGCACCTCCCAGCTCCAGCGGCAGCTCCAGCGGCTCTGCGGCGGCCGGCGGCGCGGGGCCCTGCGCCTGCCGCGCCTTCCAGTTGTGCCGGCGGCGCGCTCGGCCCATGGCGGCGGCGGCGGCGGCGGCGGCGGGGACGGGGACGGGGACGGGGACGGGGACGCGGCACGACCCCACAGAGCTCGGCTCGGCTCGGCCCGGCGCGGAGCGGCCACACGTGCGGCCGCGCTGCCGCCACTTCCGGGTCAGACGGGTCTCGCGAGAAGGGCGGGAAAGAGGCGGGGAAGGGGCGGGCACCCCATCCCACCCCCATTGCCTCAGCAGGCACTCGCAGCTCAGTGCAAAGTCTCAGTAAACATTTATTCGAAGCTTTGCCACAATACCTTAGGTTGATTTGTGAAACTGGTCTACAAATACTGAGCTACGGAGTACATGGTTTGGATGGTCCGATAAAGGAATAAATAAAGGCATGTAAAGCTCTGTAAAAAATAAGTCTGGTACAGTTGTAACTACTAAACAGTATTACCAGTAGGATCTCGTACGTGTCTAGGATCAGAAGTGAACTCACAGCATCTCTTCAGACCAAATCATTTTTACATAAACAATTGTACAAACTTAAACACTGTAATCATGAAACCCGATGTACAAAACAGGATGTGAAATCACCACCATCAGTGCCAACAACAAGTGCTACCACAGCAAATAGAACTTCTGAATAAAAGGAAAAGATCGGTTTTTACATGTGCTGTCATCACAGGTCGACGGAATTATCCAAAAAAGTTTAAAATACATGCGGATACAATAAAACCTTTTATTTTCCAACCCAGACAAAGAGAACTCGTGGTCACTGAACGCCATTAGCTGCCAAATACAGATCAGTATGTGAGGCAAACCACACTCAAACACTTCCACACCACCGAAGAGCTAAGGTTGATACTGGTCTATTTTCCACACCGACGACGCAACGAGTCTTGAGAAGCAAAGCACGAAGTGAAGGACGCGCCAGAAGCACAGCACTGAGCCACAGCAGGTTTGAGCACTGCACCCTGACACCCCAAACCACTGGGAAAGCGTCACATCCCACAGGACACGGCGGGTATCTACAGCTGTGTGCGTCCAGAGGAGCCCCCTGCCCCAGCGGGGACAGCACGGCAGGGTCCCAGCGGCTGGGTCCCACAGCAGGCAGCTGAAAACATTCAGAATTGGGAAAAACACTGCAGGATTCAAAGGCTGGGTCCCAGAGCAGGCAGCTGAAAACATTCAGAATTGGGGAAAACACTGCAGGATTCAAAGGCTGGGTGCCACAGCAGGCAGGTGAAACCCTCGAGAGCAGGAAGAGAACTGCAGGGTTCCAGAGGCTGGGTCTCACAGCAGGCAGCTGAAAACCTTCAGAAATGGGAAAAACACTGCAGGATTCAAAGGCTGGGTCCCAGAGCAGGCAGGGGAAACCCTCGAGAGCAGGAAGAGCACTGCAGGATTGCAAAAGCTGGGTCCTAAAGCAGGCAGCTGAAAACCTTCAATACCCTGCAGGGTTCCAGAGGCTGGGTCCCAGAGCAGGCAGCTGAAAACCTTCAGAAATGGGAAAAACACTGCAGGATTGCAAACACTGAGTCCTAAAGCAGGCAGGGGAAAACCTTCAAGACCCTGCAGGATTCCAGAGGCTGGGTCCCACAGCAGGCAGGTGAAAACATTCAAGAATGGGAAAAACACTGCAGGATTCAAAGGCTGGGTGCCACAGCAGGCAGGTAAAACCCTCGAGAGCAGGAAGAACACTGCAGGATTGCAGAGGCTGAGTCCTAAAGCAGGCAGGTGAAAACCCTCAAAAATGGGAAAAACACTGCAGGATTCAAAGGCTGGGTCCCAGAGCAGGCAGGTAAAACCTTCAAGAACAGGAAGAACCCTGCGGGATTGCAAAGCTGGTCCCAGAGCAGGCAGGGGAAGGCCGGTGAGGCAGAGCCATCCTCGGCGCCCGTGCCAGCTGCTCACACAGGGATGGGATCTCCAGCAGCAAGGCCCAGGAGCAGGATCTGTCCTGCAGGAGCAGCCAGCTGGGGCTGTCCCTGTGTCACCTGTGCCCCTGCAGCAGCTCCCAGCAGGTGTGGCTGTGGCACAGCTCCATGAAGTCACGGCAAAAAGCCAAAGCTACCAGGATTGTCCTGTGCCATCCCTGCCCTGGGCTGAGGGCTGTCCCAGTGCCACCCCTGCAGGTGTCACTGCTGAGGATGCCGCCAGTGCCATCCCTGCAGGTGTCACTGCTGAGGGCTGTCCCAGTGCCACCCCTGCAGGTGTCACTGCTGAGGATTCCTAGAGTGCCACCCCTGCAGGTGTCACTGCTGAGGATTCCTCCAGTGCCACCCCTGCAGGTGTCACCTGCCAGGCTCACAGGTGACACAGAGCCCTGCCTGTCTCTGAGATGCTCTGTGGGATACAAAAGCAGTGCAGCCACACCTGCTGGGTTTCTAAAAAACAGCAAAAACCTCCATGGATAAACTAGATGGCCCAGTATGGAAAACACTTGTAAAAGGTATTTACAAAAGTTGAAAGAGATTAAATACAATACCACATTCATGTCCCCAAAAGCGCTTTCACTACAGTGCATGTTTAAAAATACAGAGCATTTTTAAAGTATATATTTATATATATATATTTATATATATATATATTGAAGATTAGATTGTGCTTTAAAAAAATCATTACTTCTGAATTTGACTAACGTGAAAACTGAGTGCTGGGAAAAATACTGATTAAAAATACCCAATTTTATATATACTGCTTTTCACATAATATTTTGCTATACATGGGATGCAAGTAAATATAAAAATACCATTTTTCAAGCAGCAGGGTGATCGAAATAAAGAGTATTAATATAGGAGGGCTGATTTTACAAAAGTAAGATAAATTATTAGAGTGAGATAGGGAGAAACTATAATCCAAATTAACTTTTATGTAATACTTTCAAAGAAATCTTTATCATAGACAACTCTTAATATATAAATGTTCAGTATTTTTGACTTTAAAGTGAAATATGGATTACACAAAATACAATCTATGCAAACTGACCCATGCACATTGTCCTAAGAAGGCCATGGAGCCACTGACACGAGCGAGGTTTGCAAACTTTGGTCCTCAGGTCTCAAATTTGGCAAAACACAGCAAGACCTGACAAGCTTTACTAGTCAATTCCTAATTTCCAGGTTGGTGTTTCAGCCCAGTCCTCTGTCCACATGAGTAGTGAGAACTGAGTCTACAGGGAAGACTCTGTAATACTATGGAAAATTGACTGAAAAAAGGTATTTACTGCAATTCACATTTTCAGCTTGACAAAATGGACTATTTGTTGCCATAGTCCCTATCTGATCACAGGAAAGATTCTAAGTTGTGATAACCAGTTCTTTAACAACTCTAAACCATGTACTTGTTAATAAATGGGGTGCAGGGGGATTTACAGGTGACACAAAAAATTAAAATGCATTCCAACCGTGCCAAGTGCATATGAACTTCAACCTTGTTGAACCAAAGTGATCACCAGGAGTAAAGGCCATTGACATGGATTTAAAAATAACCCCCGTGGAAATGCCACACACAGACCCAAAGAGGTTAGGCAAGTAACACACACATTTCAAGAAGAACACTAAACTTCAGCATAAAGAGAAAAAGAAATTTGCCCCACGGTTACATTCAGTTAAGCATCACATCCAGAAGCTTTGCTCAGTGGAAGAACAAGCTGTGCTCAGCCCACTGGAGCTGGCAGTGGCAGGCACACCTGGGGAACCTCCTCCTCCTCCTCCTCCTCTTCCTCCTGGTTCCCTTGCTTTGCAGCCAGACCCCATCCCAGACCAATTTTTGTTGCGCTTTTTGATGCAGTTGTTCTTTTGGACCCTATGGGATATGGAATGCTCCAGCTGTGCTCCATCCTACCCCTGGTGGTATCAGAACTGTGCTCATCACTAGGGGCAGGTGCTTCCCCTCCCTCCTCACATCTGTGTCCTTGGATGCTGCTGTTTCCAGGTGAAACCACATTCCAGGCTCCCTTCCCTGAGGTTCCCTTTGTTTCAGTAAACCAGCACAGCCAGTGATGCCCTACCAAGCTCGTTAGTTGTAAGAAACACAGAAATCCTGCAAAATAAAATTGCTCCAAAGCTCCACTGCTTTGAAAGAGAACCGTTTCCTACACCCTCCTCTTAAAGGTGACTCGCTTTTCCCCGAAACCTAAAGAGGACATAGACTTCAAGCAAAAAGCTCCTATAAAACTATTGTAATTTTAGAAAAAAATCCAGATCTTCCTGAAGGTAATTTATTGCCGCTGATTGGTCCTGAGAAAGCTTTAAGCAACAATACATTTGCACGTGTTTTAACTGCTGCCTTTTCTGAGAAGGTACGTGGGTCCTGAGATTAAAAACTCTATGCACTTAAGCTTGGAAAATGCTTCACTGTGCAGATCAAATATGAATTACAATTTGTCACGCTACATCTTCCTTCTGTGCCAATTTATTAAAGCAGATTTCCTTCCAGACGCTAACAAATTAAAGTTCTCGGGATGAAATGCAATGATAAAATGCCACACGTGTGCTTCCTCACATTGGACTGGCATTTAAGGACTTCAGATCTTCCTTCTCCCTCATTCCCCACCTCCTGTTAAAAGCTATGGTGTGAATTTTTTGGCCTGGATACCAGAAAATTCCTCATCTGATACTCTATGAAAGGCAACTTCAAGGCAATGAAATAAGCCAACAAAAACACAAAAACATTCACAACTCTGAAGAAAAAATATGGACCCACAGCAGTTACTTCTCAATGGAAGTGCTTGGTAGCTTGAGATTTTTTTTTTTCTTTTTAACTGTTAAAGTGTCAAATTTGCATATGTTTAACTCAATTTCAATATCTGAAAGACTACTCAATTTGCTCTTATAAAAACTTTACAAAAGATGTTTTTAAATGCTTGTAAAAGTAAGCGTTTATCTACTGAGAAAATTCTAGTACTGGATAAAACTCTGAATATACAGCTGAATTTTGTAAATGTTTTTTCTTTCTCCTAGAAGTCTAACGGCTGAGTGTTTAACCTAGATAAATTAGTCTTAGACATGATGAAAAGTTATAACCTTGCACACTTTTTACCATGTGATGTTTTGTTGCTTCTTCACTTGGGATGAGACAGTGCTTAGGATTTTTCCAGAGCTGGTGTACAGTGGTCAGCAGGGACGGGCTCATTGCTCAGCGCCCCTGTCCAGGTTCTCAATCACCCTGGAAAGGCGGATGTTCAGCAGTCTGATCTGACTATCCAGGTGGTCCATCTTCTCCTCCAGGCTGCTGTTGCTGTTCCTCCTCCAGTAAAACCCAACGGGCCCCGTCATGAAGTAGACGGCCACGACGAAGCAGAGGGGCAGCACGGCGTGCTCGGGGTCACCCTCGTACTTCTGCAGGATGTACACACAGGACAGGGTGAACAGGGCCACCCTGGCGATCCAGAAGAAGCGGCCAAACAGCATGTGCAGGAGATAGAAGAAGAATCCAAGGAAGAGAGATAAAAACCAGTAGGCCAGTAAAATGGCACCGATCAGCAGGAGGGCGCGGGTCGGGTTGTTGGCAATCGCTGCTGGGCTGAAATAATGAGTCAGGTTGGAGGCTGAAAAACAAAGGGAAATGTACAGGATGTTAGTGAGCGTGGGCTGAAGGTGGCACGGGGCAAAAACACCAGCACAGCTCCAAGGGTCAAACCCCCACAGCAGTGGGGCAAAAAACGAGCACAGCTCCAAGGGTCAAACCCCCACAGCAGTGGGGAAAAAGCACCAGCACAGCTCCAAGGGTCAAACCCCCACAGCAGTGGGGCAAAAAACCAGCACAGCTCCAAGGGTCAAACCCCCACAGCAGTGGGGCAAAAAACAAGCACAGCTCCAAGGGTCAAACCCCCACAGCAGTGGGGAAAAACCACCAGCACAGCTCCAAGGGTCAAACCCCCACAGCAGTGGGGCAAAAAACGAGCACAGCTCCAAGGGTCAAACCCCCACAGCAGTGGGGTCACGTCACATCTGTGTTTTCTAAAGGGTAAAACTGGTTCACCTATTTCTGGATGAACTTTCTTCAAATCACTGGCTCAGCTCCAACTGAATTCATTCCAGGAAAGGTGCTAAAGGCTCTTTAAAGACAAACCACTGTACAGGCTGAGGTCAAAACTCATACTGGGGCTACAGATCCTGCTTTGTAACAGCTACATTCTAAAGGCTCTCAACTGCATCTTTCCTGTCTCTGGCCCTCATTGATTTCCCTGCACTGCTCCTGGCTGTGTGACTCCATTTAATGATGACACCAAGGAACCTAACTGTGCATGGTAATTCATTCTGCACACATCCTGTGGATACACACACAGAAATGGAATGGTGGGGTTCAGTCTTGTTTGAAGACACTAGTAGGAAAATCAAAGCCATGTGAAGCAGAGAGACACACCACTGATGGATGTTTAAGCAGCATGATAAAACGTAACTGTTTTCCCATTTGCTTGAAACACTGATACAGGGTGAGACAGTTCAAGGGGGAGCAGGCATCACACTTACCATCAATTCCAAGAACATCTAACAAATCAGTCCATATTCTCCAGAATGTGTCCATTAATACATCCACCCCATTCACAAACCTCTCTGTCAACCTTGAGAAAAACTGAGAAATAAAATTGAAAATTAAAAAAAAATCCTCAATTCCTAAAGTAAAAATTCCTAAAGTAACACTTTGAGACTTATTCGTCATGAGTAGAATTACAATTCATTAAGCAAGAATTGCAGATTACTTCATAGTCCCCATGGGAAAAATTGTAAATCTGAATTATTTTTTTTAAAACTGTGAATCACGAATTTATGCGCTGCAATTATCGTTATTGTAGGTATTTTGGCATGTAAATGTATACGTTGGCAGGCTTTAAAAACGCATTTTATTGGCTTTACTATCGTTTCGAAGATTAAAGAGATTTACCAACAAGTGGCAAGGCAAACCAAAGCAACTGAGAGATGTCCCCAGCATCACACGCAAATGTCTCAGGAGTACTCAGAGGTCAATCCGGCAGAATTTATTACAGCCGGAGGAAAGCAGGCACGGAGGAACGCACGCCTGCCCCGCCGGAGTCCCGCCGGCCCTGCGAGCACAGGATGCTCTGCTGCTGCTGCTGCAGACCGGATTGCAGCCCAGGGCTCCTCAGCCGGCCGTCTCCCCCACCTCACACCTTCATTTAACCATCCAGCTGCTATTTCCCCCCAGTTTGCTGCAAGCCTGGCCTCCCGTTCTTCTCCCCACAGCGGCGCTCCGGCCGTTCCGCCGCCTCACACCGGGACGAGGCCACGGCCGGGCCAGCACCGAGCTGGGCCACGGCGCCGCGGGGCTGCGGCCCCAGAGCCGCCCGTTCAGCGCCGGAGCGGCGAGGCGGGGGGAGAAGAAGCGAAGGAGACGGAGGGGAGAGGAAGGGGGCGGCGAGCAGCACCTCACCTTCTGCAGGGCCCGCACGTTGTCCTCGCCGAAGAGGCCGCTGACGCCCTGGTAGAGGCCGCTGGCGGCGCGGCGGAGGCTGTTCTGGCGGTCGGCCCCGCGGCTCCGCGCGGCCCGAGCGCCGGGCCCCGCCGCGCCGAGCAGCAGCACCCTCTGCTCCGCCACAGACACGGGTCCGGAGCGCTGTACCTGGTGCCTCAGGTTTAGCTTCTCTAGTTTTCAGATTCTGTGCTGCTTTAGGGCGTAGTTGTGAGCTTTATATTAGTATGGTCTCTTCACAGAGTAAGGAGACAAAGCAGTTTCTTCTCTAGCTGGGGACCAGGGACAAATGATCCGAATTTCAGGCCCAAGAGCACAAACATGGACTGAAGAGAGAGAAACAAGCAGGATGGGACTGCATAACCTAAAGCTATAATTGTGTTAACTCCAATTAACTCCAAATAACTCCAATTAACTCCAATATGCAAATGGAGCAGAACTTATAAAAGTGTGAAACCCTGTGACCGATCATCTTTTTTGTGACCGTTTTTGGGTGCAGCCCTGGCTGGGCTCTTGTGCTGCCCAAGGTGGATCCATGGAGGCCTTCTCATGAATAAATCCCTGCTTTTTTCTGTAACTCTGGCTCTGTTCTAGGTTAGCCTTCACAGGGCATCGTGCCCAGCTCGGGGCTGCTGAGTGCAGGAGAGATAAGGAGCTGCTGGACAGGGTCCAGAAGAGGCCACAAAGATGATTTGGGGTTTGGAACATCTCTTGTGAGGAGAGACTGCAGGAGCTGCTTTTATACCCCTTGTTCTTGATGTTTAAACCGTGCGTGGCTCAGCCTAGGACCGGTAGCTGAGCAGACATTTAGAATACAGACATCTCTGCCATGGCCTTTTTCCCAGTTTGAGTCTGGCCAAAGCACTTATTTTCACATTTAGAAGAACAGCCTAGACATTTCAGCATTGTTTTCTATTTGGCCCTGGAAGGCTTGGGCCCACATCCAGGGAGGTACTTAGGATTCTATTTCAGCAGGATATAGATGCTTGACATATTTATAAATTTTGCTTTCATTTAAGATTTGCTGATCTGTTGATACCCGTGTACAGTCTGAAGCCTCATGCTCTTCCAGGTTGGTAACTGATGATATTTTGGAGGTTCTTAGGAGGTTTCTGTCAATTCCACGTTGTGCTTATACTCTGAGCACACACTGAATGTCAGTTTCTGAGGCATTTCTTGCATGTTACTTGATACAAAAATACTCTTGATGATAATTAGCTGTCCTGAGTGTTGCTTTCTGTGCCTGGTATAATTTTTTGCTTTGCTTCCAGTTGGCATGGCCTTCCCTTGTGCTGTTCATGGTTCAACGGGTCTTGTTTGTGCAAATTTGGGAACATTCCTATTTCTCTGTGTGAATTTCTGTGGAGGAATCCCCTCAAAATCCCTCCTCCAAAGTGCCTGTTGTGTCTTCCCATCTGTTCTTCACGGAGTTCCAGGGGCCTGTGGTAGTGGCTGTCCTTTGCACGAGGTCAGGACAATTTGGGAAAATTCCTGGTATTTCATTGATATCCTGGCCTGTCTCAACGAGCCATTTCAGGTGAGTTTATCTCTCCAAATGCCCAGCTCTTATGAAATTACCTGGTATTTCACCCTCCTCGTTTAAATAAACGAAACAGTGGCTGCTCAAAGAATACATTGCATCATGGCATGAAGCACGGATCTCAGCCACACTCAGCTTCCTAGTGAGGAGAGCTGGGAGGTTTCTGGAAAGGTCCTCTGGTGAGGGTCTCACTGCCCAGAGAAAGTGTGCTTCTCTGTTTCCTCATCTGCACCAACAACGGTGTAAGGTGTCTTACTCAGAGATAGGGATTTAACAACAATTTGAGCAGTGTTAGAAAAAATTGGGGGCTTCTAGGGGTCTGAGTTTTAGCAGGTCACGGGGTTTTCTCTTTAAAAATCATCATTATGCTCAAAAAAGTGGCATGGCCTTAAAGAAAGCCAGCTGATGTTACAGTTCTGAACCTCACTGGCCCTCATATTTCTGTCTTTGCTTCATCTCACAGCCTCAAGCTGTCACAGCTGATCTCTTTATGGCCATTTGTCATTTAGGCCTTTTTTTCCTTAATGTTTGCCCCATGAGGTTTTTTCTTGCAACGTGTCAATATTTCTTTTATTATTTTCCTTTTCCCTTTCCCTTTCCTTTTCCCTTTCCCTTTTATTTCTTTTTCTCTTTCTGCAAATGCCTTTGATTTTGATTCTGGTTACTTGTACTCCTGACACCACACAGAGGTTGCAGAGATCATGGACATCAAACGAACCAGGAATTTCTTATTCTTATCCAGACTCATTAACCAGTCGGCTGATGCTCTGAATATAGGATTAAAAAAAAATAAATCCAAAATCTTTGGAAATCTTAATCCAGTTGTTGGTTCAAGGGATCATGGTCAGGCCTCGGTGTATTGCAGAGATTGCCCTGAGGTATTATTACAAAACTTTTATCTCATAGATTCTGGCATTTCATCAATTTATTCTTGCAGGTTACCTCAGAGCCCTCAGTGGGGTTGTGCCATCAGCAGAATTATTGCTGCTCTTCAGCTCTGAAGGATCTTCAGAACGGCCCCTGATCTAATCTGAGGCAGAAAACATGATTTCATTTCTACCCCATTATTACTATTAGCAGGCATAAGGCAAGGCTTAAAAAGATTTGGGGATGGACAATTCCAGTTAATCTTATTCAGGCTATTTTCCTCCTCCTAATCTAGTCTCCAAACTAATTTCAAGAGTCACTGCAGTCCTGTTAATGCCCATTTTCTCATTAAAGGTTTGCTTCAGTTTCCTCATTTTACTTCTGATTTTTCCAAAGTCACTTTTGAAAGAACGAAAAACTAGTTTGGATATGGGAAAACTGGATTGAAGCAGGGAACATGGATGCATAAGTAAGGATACAATAGAAAATAGTAAGGATACTATCCTCTTAAGTAAGGATACAATAGTAAAACTGCTACTAATAAGTGAGAAAGTGCAGTCAGGCTTTCCCAAAAGCCCACTTTTATCAGCAAATCCATCATTCCCCTTCCTCCCTGAGCTTAACTGGGTCAATCCTTTCTAAATTGCACCTTTTTTCAGCTCAGCAAGAGGATTTTTGGGTCCCTTCTCAGGTGATTTAGCTGCTGATTTTCTTTTTAGGAGCGCAGGTTGCTTTGGGTGAGAGGAAGCGGGAGTTTAGCGGCTGCTTTTAGGAGGAAACCCTCGGCAGAAATGGTGTTTGAGACATTGCAGTGGGCTCGGGAAGGAAGGCGGGGGAATGACCGGCCCTGGAGCTGGCTCAGGAGAGGTCGCATGCCTGCCACGGTCCGGTTGCCAGGGTGGTGTTGAGTCACAGGTCGGAATCGATGACCTGAGGGGTCTGTGCCAGCCGGATCGATTCGGTGACTGCGCTTTTTTTATCCTAAAACGGGAACGTTTCGGCATCGCCTCAGCGCTGAGGGACCCCCGCCCCTCCCGCCGAGCGGCATGAGAGCGCTCCGCTGATTGGGCACACCTCCCCCCGATCCGGCCGCTCATTGGCCGCCAGCGAGAGGGGCTTGAGAAACCTCTGCGCTGATTGGTCTCTGCTGGCGTCGGCTCTTCCCCCGTCGGGCCAGCCGCGAGGAGAGCGGGCTCTGGGCTGATGTGGGGCCAGGCGCGCCGCAGCCAATCAGGTGCGGCGGCGTCGCGGCCGCCGTGCGCCGCGCGGGATCCGTCCGCAGCGCGGGCCCGCCCGTCCCTGAGGGGCGCGGCGGCCGCAGGCGGGGGAGTCACGGCTTGGCTGGGTGGGAAACGCTGCTGCGAGCATCGGGGCCAGGCTGCCACCCAACACCGCCTTGTCGTCCAAACCGGAGCCCTCAGTGCCGCGTCAGACCTGTCCTTAAGCACCGTGATGCCGCCACCTCTCTGGGATGTACATTGCAGTATCTAAATACTCTTTTCTGGGAAGAAATTCTTAATGTCCAACCTAAACCTCTCCAACCTAAACCTAAACCTCTCTCCTGGCGCAGCTTAAGGCGCTGTGCTATCACTTGTTCCCTGGGAGCACAGCCTGATCCCTCAGGAGGCTGTCCCCTCCTGTCAGGAGCTGTGCAGAGCCACAAGATCCCCCTGAGCTCCTTTTCTCCAGGCTCAGCCCTTTCCCAGCTCCCTCAGCCCCTCCTGGGGCTCCAGCCCCTTCCCCGGCTCCGTTCCCTTCCCTGCAGTCCCTCCAGCCCCTCAATGTCCTCCCCGAATGGTGAGGCCCAGAACTGGGCACAGGACTCGCGGTGTGGCCTCACCAGAGCGCAGGGGTCGGGAGGCGGCCTCACCCTGCTGAGCTGTGACCCCCTCAGCAAAAGTGACAAATGACAGCTCTGCTTCCAGTCCCACAACCACAGGTGGCATCCAGCAGGTGTTTGCTCAGGTGTCACTCTCCACCTGTCCCACACGTGGCCCTAAGCTCACCCTAGAGCAGGGGTTTGTTTGTTCCTCACCAGGAGGGGTCTGACACAAAACCCCCTGCCCCTTTTGTGTTGTGAAGTGTTTATGACGCTGACAGAGCGTTAACCTGCAACACGACATGCGGGCAACCAATACAACTTATCTCTTCCACAGATTGCAGGAAGAAGGATTCTCCAGGCAGTCCCAAGGCCATTGAACCCCCTGGGACCTGGACACTGCAGCTCCCGTCCTGCCTTCTCCCTTATCTCTGTGCTTGGCAGGTGTCCGGCCCTGGATTTCACACTTCCACTGACCTCCGAGCGCTGCCAAGGCCAGGGAGGCACGTCGGGCAGATAACGTGTTCCCATTCCGCCTCTCCGAGTCCCTTAGGCTCCGGGGAGAGTGATTTAAAAATACACCAGATTTAAGGTCTGTCTCGAGGCAAATAAAAATTGTGGATTGCTTAAATCGCGTTTCCGCGGCCTTCAAATTTAATAAAGGGGTTGTGTTCTGGTAGCACAAAAATCTAAATGATGAGCAAGTCCACAATCTACTACATTTATTTTACTTTCATATACAGTACACCCACATAAATTCCCATCAAATTCCCATTTCTGAGGTTTCCATGACTTAGAAACAAAACCATGACCTTGAAAATAAATTACATAAGCAGCATGGGTATACCTCGAATGGAGGAGTCGTTTAGGTTCTAAAAGC